AGACGGCTTATGGTTGAGAAATGAACATTCAATGCACGGGCGACAGATCTGGTTGACATTCCTGCTGTCAGCATGCCAATTGCACGCTCCCTCATTGCTTGTGGCATCTGTGGCATTTTGCTGTGAGACAAAACTGCACATTCCAGGGTGGCCTTTTGTTGTGGGCAGTCTGAGGTACACCTGTGCACTACTCATGATGTCAGATCAGCATCCTGATGTGGCACACCTGTGAGGTGGGATGGATTATCTCAATATAGCAGATGTGCCCACTACCACACATTTGGACTGATTTGTGACCACTGTTTGGGAGGGATGGTTATATTGTGTATCTGGAATGAATTTAGGTCTCTACGTCCATCCCATGGGGAATGGGAGCAGTAACAAAGGTGTTGCGTTTATATTTTTGTTGAGTGATATATATACATATATATATACATATACATATATATACACATATACATATATATACACATATACATATATATACACATATATACACATATACATATATATACACATATACATATATATACACATATATATACATATACACATATATACATATACATATATATACATATACATATATATACATATATATATACATATAGTTTCATAGTTATTGACAGTGCAGTGTGTAAACATTCTCACAACAGATTAGAGAGAGACAGTGAACTGATCATCTTTAGTTTTATAAAGCAAGCTGACAAAACACTTTATCAACACAGAAGATTAAACAAATCAAGCCCATTTATACATTTTACAATACAATTTTTCTGTACAGTGATAACTACAGAATAATCTGACAGAATACCAAAAATCTGTCTCCTTTGTCGATTTTATCTTTGCAGGAAAAGATAAAATCCTGTGACAGCCTGATGTAACCTGTCCAGTGAGTGTAATCGCTAAATGTTTTGGATTAACTTCTTAAAAACATGGAAGTCAGCTTGCAGTCAAAAAAACAAAACAAAACAGGACATGTAACATTTGATATTAATTGCAACCCATTCAAACTTCATTTTAATCAATTTGTAATATAAAACCAGAAGACTCAGGTCTCGAGCGAGCTGGTTTTATTTGGAGCTGGTTCCAGGACGGGCTGCTCCAGGGTTTCCTTTAGCCTCAGGAGTTTTAATCACACTCAGCGGCTTGTGGAGGGAGGAGCTGGCCTTCTGGGTCACCTCCTGCTCAATCTTGTTCCTGATGGCAACCTCTAGACCCTTCAGCAGAGGAGTTGGAGACAAGTTAAAGCGGGTCAAGCTCAGACCTGTACTCACTGTTAAATTCCTCTGATTTCCTGTCACTTGTCCTCCTCACCTTCTTCAGCTTCTGCTGCTGAACCACTTGAGCCTTCTTCGGTGCTATGATCCTCCCTTTATAACAGAAAGTGTCACAAACATCAACTTTCCTTTTTCAGATACTCTGAAGGTTTGTCCATCAGATGGAGCTCAAGCGTTTTTTGATATACCCTGCAAAAACTACAGTCTGTATATGAAAGATGGATGTAGCCACCATGACATCACAGCAGTTAATGAATTTAGTGAATTTTGAGCTGAATGTTTGTTATCACCATCTTTTGAAATCATTTGTGACATGTGTTCACTTACGTGTCATTCAAAGGACTGGCAAGCTTACAGCATACTGTGTTTTATCTTCATTTGTGACTCTAATTGAGGTCATATTTTAAAATGTTCATTATGTATTAGTTAAGACTTTAATAAAGACACGTCAGAAAACAGTTTAAGCTTCCTCAGAAAGTTCACTTCAAGTTGCTCCTCATGGTTTACAGTTTTCCTTGATATCAAATTTAAGTCTGTAAGTTTACACTTCTCTCGCTCCCAAGTGCTGACATTTTGTCACATTTTCATAAAAAACAGGAAACTTGGGAGACTTTTTTAACAATATTAATTCTGATTGGATCACATCCAAACTTGTCCCGCCTTTCTGCACAAGTTCATCAGTTCAGAGTTTCTGTGACAACTAAATACTCCTTAAGACACACATATTTCCGAGTTATGCCTTCCTGCAGCCGTTTCTTTTATATATATGTATATAAATATATATGTGTGCGCGTGCGTATATCTATCTCTCTCTCTCTCTATATATATATATCTATATCTATCTATATCTATATCTATATCTATATATATATATATATATTTTAATGTGATGTGCACTACTCTCTTTTTTCACTGTTCTATAACATTTTAGCCACTGTTCTATATATCAGTACTTCAACATTATGCACTCCACACTGTATATAAATGCCACTTGTTTTGCACATATTCAACTCTGTATATTTTATATATTTTATTATTATTATTATTATTATTTTTACTATTTAATTTGTAAAAATGTGTATACACACACACACACACGTAGGAAAATATTTAGTATACACATCCAGAAATGCATACACTATTATATATTGTACATATATTTATTAGTTTCAGGTTGGCCATTCTTGTATTTTGCTCGTTTGTGTTGTTGTGTTTGCACATCTCTGTTGCTTGTGGGGCTCGCACACAAGAATTTCACTCGCATGTGCTGTGCCAGTGTGCCTGCACATGTGATGTGACAATAAAAGTGATTTGATTTGATACTTGCACTGTGTATTTTGCACCTGTGGCATTTTAACTATGCTGTTTATTTATTGTAGACTGTACTATTTCTATTCTTTATTCTGCTGCTGTAACACAATCATTTCCCTTGTGGCATCAATACCGTATCCATCTGTCACTAGCTTGCTTACAAAGGCATGAAGCTAATTTGATGTTTCTGTTTTACTCTCGACCCCCTTATTTTTTTTATTTGTACTTATTTATTTTTGTGTGCTTTTGAAAGGCTTTAGTGGGTTACTGGTTTCATTGCTGTTTAAATATTCGTGCTGGACAGACTGTCCACATGTTTGAGGTAAATAATCTGAAACGTGCTCAGCTGTTTACAGTCACATGGTGGAGCTGCTGACCGACTAAAAATACTTCACACGTTATTGTTAATATTTTTAATCATCGGGCTTCATAAGGGAAAGAATTCAGAGCCATACCTCCTTTCTTCGGGCCTTTCTGTTTGCTCTGTTGTTGTTTTTTGGATCCTGGACGCTGAGCTTTAAACTTCTGCGAACCCTGAGCCATTTTTGCTTCCTTCCGTTTTTTCTTCTTTGCATAAAAAGGTGCTTTATAGCCTTCTTTTTGTCATTAGCGCCACCTGCTGGTTAATCAGCTTACAGCTGTTTAGTACAGCCTTGGAAATGAAGTTCAGCGCTGCATTAGAATCACACGAACACTTTCATAAACTTAAGTCTAAACCTACTTTGTCCCTTTTAAACTTAATTTACTTGATATTCAAGTATCTTCTTGCAAATAAGATAAGTATAACTTTGTTTATCCCGAGGGAAATTCTTTTGTCATATGATATGCTCAAAGCAGCAGGAGAGACAGAGGAACAGATGAATAAGATATACAATAAGAATAGCAGTATACAGTAATATACAGTAGGATAGTGCAAAATATAGTATCAAATAACTCTAACAAAGTAACAATATAACTATATCCTGGAGAATAAATAACTTAACTATCAGTGCAGGCGATTCTAGAAGGTGACATAGTATTGTGTAGTTGAATAAAGGGAGTAGCAGCGTATGATGGGGAGATGAAACAAATATTCAATAAGGTACTGTTGGGTGATATTGCACGGTCTGAAAAGGAACAGAATAACATTGGTATTAGTCTCAGGAAAATCACCTACAGAGTGAGGAAGAGCTGTACAGTCTTATTGCCACCGGTACAAAGGATTTACTGTGGCGATCAGTTCTGCATTTCGGGGCGATGAGTCTTTTGCTGCATTTTGCAAATGACTGCACAGTCTGTACTGTCCGGCTGGCAGTGACAAAGCTGTAGAGCAACTTAAACCTTGATTCAGGTGGATTTCTATGTAATAATGTGATATTTTCATTGTAACCTCTAACAATGTTTTAATTCAGCTGTTAGAAAATATGTGGCCATTTGTGCTTACCTTATTTAAGCGATTCCATGACCAACCATTTCTTCTTTTTAAATCACTCCTTAGTGGTTTTGTGTCATTAGCATTGTTATCCTTTTTAAAGGTCCAGTACTTTAGGGACAGGTGGAACCAGTCTTATTTTACACCTCTGACATCTGCTATCGCTATTCCAAGTTCAAAAGAGTCCTTGAAGCCATAAACGGTAGTGGATGCCCACTGAGCCTGGCAAGAGATTTGAAAAATAAACCTAGCACAAAAACTAAGGATATTTGTGTTTTGTTGATGATTTCTTTGTTGTGGCAGAAGGGACCAACACAACCACAGTGACTGACTTGTGACAAATGCTGGTTGAACAGCGTGTGGCTGGCTGGCCATACACTCATCCACTTATTCCATTTCAAGGTTGTGGTGGACATGGAGCTTATCCCAGGTGACACTGTGAGGGGGAAAAAAAAGGTAGCACATACTGGACAGGTTGCCAGGCCCTCACAGCTAACACAAAGAAAAGAGAGCCATAGTCTGTTCAGTCCACATCTACAGACTGTTTAGAATCACCAGTTAACTTAAACACTTGAAGGAAGCGTTTAAGCTAACTTGAGTTTGAACATAGACGTCTTGCTGTGAGGTGGAATTGTTAACTCCTGTCCCTCTAGGACTGCCATCCCAGCAATTTTATCCCATGTCCCCCAGTCTGCCAAATTTCACAGAACAATCTGCAGAAAAATCCTGCAGCCACTGGTTACACATTTGACCTGCACGGGAGGCCTGCTAACAAAAAGGCCTCAGTTTCCCAGTGAACATATGACAAAGACCAAGTATTTGGGAATGAAATGCTCTGGAGAGAGAAATCAAACCCACACATGTTCAAAACAGGAACCTTGTTGTGAGGTGATAGTAGCCCGCTCATCGGCGCCTCTGAGGCCAAAGACTTGGTTACTTTTTATGTCATCTGTCATGTATTCACAATTTTGCTCAATAAATGACAAAAAGGCAAATTCTACTTGTGCATTTTTGCTGTGGTTTTACTTCTTTCCTTTATTGATGTGAAAGAGAAATCTCTTAATTTATGACTGCACTTTACAGCATTATATTCATATACGTAAATATATTAAAAAAAACAAAAAACAAAAAAAAACCCAGTTCAGAACACTTTCCACATGTTACAAAATCAAACCCAGACCAGGTGATTATCAAGAACAACAACAACAACAACAACATACTTGCACTTAAAGAGGCCATCTGAACAACACTCCTTCCATGGTAAATGCAGACTGCACCAATCGCTTTATAATGCATACACATCTGCTATGATTAATCGAATCAACTTGGAAAGTACGAGACAGGCGGCGCTGGATTTTGGCACCTCATTATTATCCATGTTTTGGCCTTTTTGGAAGGAGAGGGATGCGTTATCGCTTTTTAAAATACGGCATTATATTGCTGCTGCTTAAAAAGCATTAATCCATAATACAGAAATACAGTACTGTGCAAAAGTCACCCCTCATTTCTTTACATCTTGCTAAGAAATTGGAAATAACTGCACCAATTTATGAAAACATGGTAACAAATATGTAAGTATATAAGACAAAAAACACTTTCTGCTGTAGACACTTCTACAGACCGGCCTTTTCTTCTTTTGTCCACTTTCCTCAAATTTTTTAAGAACTCAGAGCACTCCATGCTGAGATGTGCAAAATTTTTGGCTAACAGCTATTCGGGAATCACATTGCTGGGGCAAATATACCATTTTACTATTTTATGTAGCAGCCAATGTCCCAAGAAGAACTTTGAAAGACCTTTAGAAAGCCTACAGAACTATTACTCAAGACCACTTAAAATAAAATAAAAAAAACCAACAAGAAAATGTGGCTTATTAGAAGTGAAATATAAAGAAATGAGGGAGAACTCGAGACATCTGCAAGGTATTGTAATTCAACTGCAACCTAAAATAACAGACGAGCCTGAATCTAGGCTACTTTGGCAAACTAAAAGCACCGCCACAAATTAATTGTCACTTAGCGTTCAAGATACAAACGAGTGAAAATTGTAACCCATATTTCTTTTCATCAACCTTGTCAATCTGCTCTGCTGCAGGCTGGCGCATTAAGTGCTTGTGTTCATGCATTTCAGTGTTCGAGTCCGTGCAGGCAGACGGAGAGGTAGTGCGTATGGTTGAGGAGGCCTCCCCAGTGTGGTGCTCTAATGGCCTAGTCACTAGGAATCACAATGAAATCATGAAATAAACCAACAAACCACAGCAGAACAGTTATAATCATGACCTACAGACAAACAAAAATCTTGTACCTCTTAAACAGAAATGACAGGCGGCGCATCTAACGGGCCATAAAATTGCTACATATGTCAGGAAAATTGTCTAAAATCCCACCCCCCCCCAAAAAAGCATGAAGTCTTTGACTTTACAAAACGAAAGAAATTTTTTAACACTTGCGTGTGACCTACCAGCATCTTTGTGAGTTGAGGTTTGATGGGTGAGCGAGGTGATGATTGATGAGGAAGAAAGTGAAGAAATGAGCTTACATTACAGCATATTTTAAGATATAGACAATAGACACTGTCGTAATTATTGATGTTAAGCTTTTTGTTTTGTTTTTTTAAATGATGTTTTCTCAGAACCTCCCTGTGGTCCTGTAGAGTAGAGAAGTTGTGTAGTAGACAGTCAATGTGTGAGGTGGTGGTGCCTGTGGCCAGACCTCTGACATCTCTCTAATCGAGTCAGTAAATGCATTTACATGCACATTACCATGCTGGTCTAGAGCACTGCTTTTCAACCTTGATGTTAGTCATAACCCTGCGTAATTACAGTATCGCGTTTCCGCTCATTTCTGCATCAGCTGAGCCATCTCCGCAGTTTCCGGCCATTTACACTGAAACTGACTGACGCACATAGGAGTACAATCACGTTTCATGTGTGTTTATATGCACACATTTCACCATTATATGAGTGTGCAGGTAAATCCACTCACTCACAAAAGAGTGGTGACACTGTGTGTGTGGGAGTGGGATAGCATTTTCTGACACGGAGCATAAAAATCAAAACGCTGTCTGTGTTTTTAGGGCGTCTTTAACAAGGTTTTGTTCTTTCTGCACGAGGCAAAAATGTTTGAATAGGCATAAAACACGCCGCCAACAGGCAAGTCTGAGATTTCAACATGCCATCGGGCTTTGTATTTTTAAATGAAACAAAAATGTTACCATTCAATTGCTATGGCCGAGTTTCAGGTAATATACAAGGAAAACCACAAAACAAAAAACCAGACTGCGACGCAGTGCAAGCTGTGAATTTTGAAAATCATATTTTCCTTCAGGAATTTCTGCTACTTTTCACAATCTGAAGTATGTGCAAAGGACTCCTCTGCACATCTGCAGAGGAGCCATTAGGCCTGTGATTGAACAAAGACGTAGGCTAGATCTAATAAAGCCTGAAAACAGAGTGAAGAGATGGTTCAGAGGTCTGGTTTCCTCTGAGAGCACTTGAATTACAATATGCTGAAAGGTTATTAAAGGATTTTTTGTCTAATAACCACAAAAAAATATTACTGCCTGCCTCAGCCTTTAAGCACTCTGGCAACACGATATGAACTCTGTTGAAGGACGGAGCGAGGGGACTACTGCCTTACATCAGTAAGCTACAATCAGGCTGCACCTGTAAGGCAGCAAACAGTGTGGACCTGGTGACTTTGGGTAAATGATTAGGTGTCAGCACGCAGATAAGAGACGTCTGGGATGTTTCTACGAAGCCTCTCGCAACGACAAATGCACCGTAAGCTCGCAGGCCAGGTGGCAAAAATTCAGTGCATTCAAATCACGATACAAGACCTCAAACACAGGCTTGCATCAGTCAGTCTGCCTAACGATGCTGGATTTATCAGTTAGTAAGTTGGCAACTAACTTGAAGGACGGTCCAAATATTGGGTGTAAAATTTCAACTAGTATTTTGTGTGAAAATGCTTTATTTTCTGTTATAAATGCACACATATTGTTACAATGCTGGATGCTCATAAAGGGATTTCTTAAAGGTCTTCCATGGACAGGAGCTAAAATGGCTTGTTTCAGATGGCATATGAACTGGAGGATAAATAAAATAAACAAGAACTATTTTTAACTGTGAATCATTCAAATCTACTCTACTAGAGCCCAAGAATAAAAATATGGAAAAAAGCATAATAGGTTCCCTTTAAACAACTGCTATATTGTTACGATTTTCATTCTTTTCCTGTACAAATAGTTTCAGCACTAGACGAGTTTGGCATTTCCTACCATTATGAAATTCATTTTTCCTTTATAGTCCTGTTCTTTCATCAGGATAGAGAAAAGAAACTCAGGGGCCAGAAATGTCAAACAATAACTTCTGAGAAAAAAAAACAAAACCTTTGTGTACTTCTTGATATCGACCTGCTTTCAGTCGCTCGCGGTACAGATTTCGGTGAGTCGCGAGCATGTCTGGGAGTTTATGAGGAGGGTTTAGTCCAAGCGGTCGAAACACATTCGAAGGTGAGCGCAAAGGCAAGAAGTGGCTGAGTGTCTGACGTCCGGCCCCAAACGAAAACAACATTTATACGACTTAAATGTTACATTCTCATTGGTGGTGGCGTAAAAGTACATAACGCAGAAGATGCCCTCCATCATAAAGGAGTAGTTCATGCCCCCACAAAAAGAGACAGTCAGCTCCTGCTCACCCCCACATTAAATTTGTGAGTCTCTCAGGTTTGTATGGCCCAACTAGTTAGTCTGAAATCTAAGACTTCACCTTTAGACTAAGTTTTGTGTCTCTGACACTTTGAAACGCCATCACGGTGTCAATACTGGAGGGCTTTAAAACTGCATTGGTTTGTTTTCCACACTTTAGTGGCAAAACAAACTAACAACACACAAAATAACAGAGATATTAAAAGAGTATTTTGGTATTTATTTGGCAGTTAAGAGCAGCTTGACATAAAGGCAGAGATGTGGGTGTATGACACGCAGCAAAGGACTGAACACTGGAGATTTCACTCACATGGTTTGGAATATAATCATTAGGCTGCTTAACCCAATGTTAAAACAAGCCATCAAGGCGGATGTGTTAGCAAAGCGGTTTGTTATGATGACACTGTGGTCACAGAGCAACCTAACCATTAGCTTGGAGTCAAATCAAAGCAACTATCTCTTTCTTCTACTTGTCAGCTGTGTCCGTCTGCTGCGTCACGCAGAGCAGGAAGTGTGAGAGTAAAAATCCTTTTTTGTGCAGCTTTTCGTGTGTTGAGGCTGATGTAGTTAAACGCACCATCTGGAGAGAGATTCGTTTCTAAGCAGGAAAGCTGACATCGAAAAATTATTTTAAAGTCTTGACTGATGTGGACACAAGCCAACAACTAAACCTTAATTTTGAGGCAAACTACTCCTTTAACTCCTATTTTTTTTTAATGATTCTTCCTTACAGAGAAGGGTGACAGGCAGCCCAAAGTGCTGACCAGCCTCCAAACTCCCCGGGTCTAAATCTGATCGAGCGGCCGCGGGATGCATCAGAAAGAGACCGATCTGGACCCGTTTCTGCAGTGGTTTTAATGCTGTGGCTGATCAGTTTATACAAGTCTATTATGAGAGTACATGTGTGGTATGATACAGTATAACTGGGAAGAGCAAAACGCAAATAAGGAGTGAGGTATAAAAGTAGCCATGTGACGTTAAAGGCTTCAGCTGACTAGCGTGACCGATCGTTCAATTATTTTGACACACAAAATTCTTCCATATTAAGACTATGAGCTAAAAATGTGAATTTGTCTATTACAAAAAAGTTCCTACACTGAGCAAAAGAAATGAAATGTTAATATAACATTTTTAGATGCGAAATGTATTTTTTACATAACCGCTTATTTGGATGAAAAAGCGGCGCGTTTCACGAGCGGGGGTTAGTTTCTACATATGTACACACTACCAGCAAGGATATATATATTTACAAGTAGGTAGCAGCATTTTAGAAACCACGACTTGTTTCAAATTAAAGAACCAGTCGTGCTATTTAGGCTTTCGTTTTATTCTTTAAGTTGTTACAATGTGACTTTCGTAAGGTCGCATATAGGTTTGTTTGCCAAATTGAATTTCTGGGTTCGAGTCCAGCTGAGCTTTTTTTTTTTTTGTTGGTACAGAAGCCATTTGGAAAGAGAGAGAGGCTGAAAGAGACAATGACAGATGCAATGGAAAGCTTTGGAGGTGAAAGGTAAAGACAGAACAGGGATTTAAAAGAAAGGGGAGACCGCACGTGTGTGGCTACTCGACTCCCTGCAGTGAGACTCTATGTAGCTGTGTATGTGGAAAAGTGACAAACAAGATTTTTTTTTCCCCTGTGTGCACCACTGAATGCAACAGTGACTGTGTATTGAACAAAATTCAATTAGAAATACAACTGTGCGGCGTCTGTGATGATGAGAAAGTGTCTCTTAGTGTGACGTAAACGTGCAGTGGTGCGCACGGACCAGCAGGAGGAGCCGAGTGGCTCTAGAGGGCAGTGAGGCGGCCGGTGAGCGCCGCCTGGAGCTCAGAGGGGAGGAAGACTCCCAGCTCTGTGATGATGCCCCCTGTGATGAGCTGGTGAGGGGTCACGTCGAAGGCCGGGTTCCACACTTCGATACCTGCAGGAAGCGTCCGGGAATGAGGTGTTAGTCACACAACACAATTCACAGGTTATTATAATGCAAGTGCACTAACGCGTAAGCTAGCTGTACTGAACAGAATATTGAGAATTAAAACCCAGTTGAACGGTCTGACACTGAGCCCAACGTGCTCCTTGTCAGTTGTTTAAACATTGATTTAAACAACAAGATGAAGATTGATTTAAAAAATAAAAATCTATCATCAATATGAATAATCATGTGTCGCAATCTGTTGCTGTGATGAAAAACAGTCTCGTCATATTGAAGATGTGAAGATTCCTGAGTCAAAAAGAGGCTTGAATAACTTTAAGACTCTGTCTGAAATAATGTGCCTTAATGTGAGTTTTCGAACACTGTCTGCACACTTAGGATTAAATTATCATTAAATACTGCCAAGCAAAACAGACGCCCAAAAAGCTTAAAGTTTGACATCTTTTCCACTCGAAAAGACCCGAATCAGTCTTACTTATGTACAAAAACTACAAGTAGGTCATAATAAAACATACTCTTATTTACAGTTGCTGTTACTGCATTTTTGTCCCGGTCAGAAGCAGAATCATTTTAAAAATGTACGTTTGTGTTAGGTTTTCCGTCTTTTCCTGTTAATACAAACTGAAAGTGGGTAAGCGATGACTGAGTGGACGCTGAGTGGACTGCCCTCTTGTTTTTAAACTAAACATCATGGTTTTAAGTGAAATGTGTTCATATTTCTCAGTACACTGGATTAAAATGGAGGCTGTGCTCTATATTTACCTGTCGCCGGGGTAAATCATAGTATCGGAGCTCCACTGATGATAGCTTTCTTTCCCTAATCGCGCTACAATCAGGGTGAACATACTCAGAGTTGATTTAACTAAGTCTGATCAGCCTTTCTGGATATTCAGAGTCTCCCACAGTTAGACTCAGAGTTTGTTGAACCTGCTTTCTGTCTCGGGTTTATTATTCCTTCAAACAGCAGCAGGACTACACCCCACACTGCTCGTTACGCATTTCTTTACTGTGGTAAAGGAATGTTTAACGACTGCAACAGTGTGGTTCTAGTACACCAAAACCTTAACTAAAGGTTAATTCATAATTATTAAAGTCTGTGGGGAAAGTTAAAGAGTGGAAAAAACGAATGTGCAAGCACACATCCTCGTCCCCGGGGGCCTGTGTACTCATTAATTCAGCACAATTACTGTGATGTCACTGGGTACCTAGAGATTAAATGACTCAACTAAGCTCTCACAAACTCAACTAAAATACATTTTCAAGGTTTGACCCGACAGACTCAGGCTCAGGTCCAAAGGGCTGCAAGTCAGACTCAAACCTGGGCTTCAGCCGTAAGGTATATGGGCACTTGAGCTCAGTAGGGCTGCTCTGAGCACTCCAAAGTGCATAGCATTAATATATTTACTGATAATCCAGGCTTTAGTTTGCCCTCACACATTTCCACTGTGTTTCTGTCCAAGCACAGGCCATTTCCACACATGAACTTTGGCCAGCTTTGCACAGTTGTTCTTTCTGTAATGCAGCGCAGAGCAGTAAACAGTCTGCTTCAGATGCATGCGGTTCAGCTGAAAGGAGCTCCCCATGTAGAGGCAGCTAGACACATGACACCCACTCACTAGCACTGAATGCGCCGGACTGTTAGCTCCATAATTTGTTCAGCAGCACATGACATCACACAGACTTTGTACTGGAGAGCTGAGAGGTTAAAAACCAGTTAAAGTCCCACCTGAATGCGTCTGACATTTGCGGTGTCACGTACACCTCTGTGGGCGGTGGTGCATGTGTGAAAATGACTCTGTTCTCTTATCTCTATCATGCCACTGACTACTAAAGACGCATAAATGGCAGGCAAGAAAGTTCAAGAAAGAAAACCTGGCGAGAAAATAAAAAGGACGATGACAGAAGAACTTTGTGTGCACATTAGTGGCCACAGGGCGCCTCTGTGCAGGACATATGAGCTAACAGCCTCCTTCACTCTGGCACTTACGTTTCATGTGATGCCAATTTAAGTGTGTTCGGTGCTTAAGCCTCTGGGCTGACTTTGGAACTGGGCCAAGCTCATCTCCTCTCCAACCTTGATGCTTTCCTGTCGATACTCTACCGAGCTCGCGCTTATTTAAGTGCTCTCTCTGCACAGACATCTCTCACGCCTTACCTGGGGCAGCGATGGGAACCCCGTTTATAGAAGTGAGTTCCTCGGGGGGGCGCACTTCGATGATGATGTCCCTTCCGCTCTCCAGACTCAGGTCACACGACGTGCTGGGTGCCGCCACATAGAAAGGTATCCCATGGTGCTTAGCGGCGATGGCCAGCTGGTACGTGCCGACCTTGTTGGCTGTGTCACCGTTAGCAACCACCCTGTCTGCACCCACCACCACAGCTGAGGGAGAAAACAGCAGAAAGGAAGTCTTAAGAGAAAAAAAAAAAACGTGAGGTTTTAGTGAAGTGAAGGAGACGTGATGGGACACAAACACACACCTGTGATGTCCATCTCCCTCATGGTGAGAGCTGCCATGCTGTCTGTTATAAGCGTGGCAGGGATTCCCTCCGCTACAGCCTCGTACGCCGTCAGTCTGGACCCCTGGTTGTACGGCCTCGTCTCTGTGCAGTACACGCGCTTCAGCCTGCCCAGCGCGTGGAGGCTTCTCACCACGCCTACACACAGACTCGTATCAGTTACAGTGCTCTAAATATTTCAACAACCACCTTCTTTTCTCATTCAGAGCCAGCGCTCCAGTCTCACCCAGCGCCGTCCCGTATCCAGCTGTGGCCAGCGAGCCGGTGTTGCAGTGTGTGAGGATGGTCACCGAGTCCCTGGGGACGCCAGAAAGGATGTGCTGAGCTCCATAGTTACCGATCTTCCTGTTGTCATTGACGTCACGCTCCAGCATGTCTTCGATCCAGGCAATTACACTGCAGGAGGGGGGCCACAAGAGGTGGGAATTGAGAAGAGGATATATGTCTGCCACTGTGGGCTCAATGTGTCCATCATATCTGCAGGAGCAATACGGCTTTGTGTTTCTGTTTGTCATGACTTTGCTTTCTCCGCTTTTCTCATACACAATCTTTTTCTTCATGCTGTTCCTTCTCTTTTTCTGCCATAGCTGTGCCACATCTCCCTCATTTTCTCTCACTTTCTTACATTATTCTTGCTGCACAGTCTCGATTCTTACCTTGCAGACACGCATTATCAAGTAAACACTTGCACAGGTGTTTTTGGAGACTGGCCCACAATTCAAACCACACCAAGTTTAAAGTAACATAAATCTTCCATGGTTACCTGCTAGGTCTTTCACTCCACCACTACAGTGTTTCTCTTTAGCCCAACTTATTCTCAGATGAATGGACAGGTTCTTATATAGAGCTTTTCTACTGTACACCTTATACAAATATGCCTCATTCACCCAGTCACACAATCACTTTTCTATGCTTAAGTGCTTTGCATCTAACATTCACACTCAGAGAGTAACTTGGGGTTAGTACCTTGCCTAAGGATATGTGGCATGCAGGGATCAAACTACTATCCTCTCCATTAGTGGGTGACCTGCTCTACCTGACCAGGTCTCTGAGCTACAGTCACCCCAAGCAATGTGCCTCACTGCTTTGTAATGGAAATCTAACATATTTATTTAACACATAGGAAGAGAGCTAGTCACCTTTTCAGTTTCCTCAGTCTTTAAAGGGACACTTTGTTTGGACAGGGCTCGAATGACTCGTAAGTCAGTGTTCCAAGTGGCTTAACGAACAAACCTCCGAAAATGTTCAGCTAAAAAGTGCAAAAAGAGTGAAAAAGCAGCCAATGTCCAAAGAGACCTTTTGACTCCTTGAAAGCAAATTATAACGAGCGTGCTGCACAATACCAGCTTAAAGGTCCTTTGAGTGGATGCTAACGACTGACATGGCGTTACTTTGATCCCTGACCTAAAAACAGTGACGAAGACGAGGGCCCCCTTATGTTCAGCCCACTGACACGAAAGTCAGGAAAACATTCAATCACTGATAAGCATAGAGGCCAGTGACTGATGAACTGAAACACTTGCTTCTTAACTGGAACAGTTACCATGAAATGCATGTATTGGTGCAACCGCAGTAAATATCGATTCATGCTTTGGCACCAGCATTTTCTTCTTTTAACTCTACGTAGCTTTCTGCATCAAATTTAAGTGAATCGCTGCCTTGAGGCCGGGGTTACTGTAAAGTAGATCACTCCCTTCTGTCAAAAACAAGCTGCATCATCTGCCTCTGACAGACATCATCCACCTAGACTGAACGTTTTCCGTCACCAAGAAACACCAATGCCTTTCACACGTGTTCTTTTCCACTTGTCTGAAAATAAAAACGAATCAAATTGCTATTCAATCACTATTTAACAAGTGAACCCTGTAAAAATTACCACTTGATAATTTGGTTTTAACACTAATAAGCTGCAAAAATGTATACTATTGATGCTTTCCAATTTTCACTTCACAACTGATCCGATAGCTTCCGCAACTTCTTCAACAAGACACCTGCAGCTGGTGTTAAATGAGGAAGTGTTACAGCAGCAACTAACTCGGGAGACACCATTCAGGAGGAAAACTGAAGAGCCGAGATGATTTCATGTAACAGAACAAGTTCATACAGAGCAAACAACTGAAAAGCTGACAGTAGAGCCTGACCGATATATTGGTGTGGCTGACACTAGCTTTACTTTTTCATTTATTTTTTGTATTCTCATTTAACCCTTCTGAGGTAAAAGAGAAAACTATTTGCTAGGGCTGTGCGATATGACCTAAATCTCATATCCCGATATAAAACATCTATCGTCCGATAACGATATAAATCACAAAAAATTTAATATTTTCTGTAAATTCTGTGAATCTCAGGTAGGTGAAGTGTTTCCAGCTGGGCGTCATGTAGCTGGAGTCGAGTGTTTTAACCGATGCATGAAACTATACATTTTTAGACATAGGTTGTAACGGCCGCCGTTTTCTTTGTGAGTATTTATTACACGGCGTGTTCTGGGGCCTGTTCTAACGTTTATTTTTTAGCACCTGACGACTCTTTTTTTTTTTTTGCTTCTCATCCGTCAATACTCTGCATACTTTTTCACGTGATTCCGTTTATTTTGAAAATTCTCAACAGGATCTTGAGCTTTATTGTGAAAGTTTTATGTGGAAAATAAACAAGCGGACATGCGATGGTGTTACCGTCGTTGTTGCTAACGACAACCCATAAAAACAGGTGCTTGTCCGTCTGTAGTGTGGTTATATTAAATATAAGAGAAAGAGAGAACTTTAAGAAATTAATATAGCCACTACAGTGACCATCAAAACGATGAAAAAATTATTGCCGTGAACAGTTTATTTTGCGACACCACGAAACAAACGATAGCATAAAATGAAACGATAGACGTTTTTATATCGTCATCCGACATATATCGTTATATCGAACAGCCCTACTATTTGCGGATATGCTCGTATCGACGTTTATGATGGCCAATAAATGAAAATGGAAAAAGTAAAGAACAGACAAAAAAAAACGCCATTCAATCATGTTATGAGCATTGATGCTGCATAGTTTATCTACCAGAGGAAACTCTTTGATCCGAGCAGTCGGGCTGAGTGTAAACGAGTAATTCATGACTTGCTGTGGCAAAAAAAAAAAACGATTATTGCTGAACAGCACCGATATATTAAGACTCATAAATAAGTACACATAAAAAAAAAAAAAAGTGAAGTGTTTGTTACGCATGTCTGAATTAAGAAAATCTCACCTGATGTCAGATATCGCCAAATATTAATATCAGTCAATATCAGTTGGCAATTTTGCTTCTGCATTCAACAGCATAAAGTCTGTGAATCCTTTAGGAAAATGAACGTTTTTAAAATGCAAATGTTTTTTTATTCCTGATGAAACTTTTACAAAGCCAGCTATTCACAATTTGTACCATTCTTTAGCAGATGTGCAAATCACAGAGTGAAGGCATGTGTCCACATAGCTCTGCATTTCCAGCAAGTTACCCACTACTTTATGCAAAACAAGGAAATCTGCAAATCTTTGAATCATTGTTAGGACCCAAAGACCACGTGGCTTATTTCCCGCCTCAAATGTTGGAAAGAAGGTAACTGGATGTCTTTAGGAGTTTTTTTGTCTTTGTTTTGTTGAAGACGTTTTAGAACTGAAGAAACGTCTTGGATAAGAGGCGTAACTTTCAGAGAGTCCCAGGTCATAAACCCCTAGTGGGGTCTGTCCTGTTTGGAGGCGTTTCTAGGAGCCGTTAACCCAATCTTGGTCACACGAGTCATTGCATGAGCCAAGGTGGTTTGGGTAATTACCATCACCGTGGCCGACGACTAAAACCTCTGAGATATTGCCCCACCCCGCCATTGTGCGAGCTATTGAGGTCACATAAGGCGAGGTGTGGGTGCGAGTTCAAAATACCTGGGATTCAGGAATCCACTGTATGTCATGAAAGCCTACACAGACACATCCATCAATCCATTTTCTGCAACTTTTCCCAGACCCGAAGACAGCACTTCACCTTTTTTAGGGTTTGGCAGTGCCAATTCTCATTCTTTGCTTGTCACTCTCAGCTGGAAAATGCCCCAGTGTAAGCTGGAGGTCATCATTTAATGAAAGCAGAAGACCCACAAGAATGAAAATTCTCTCCATAAAAGTTAAATGGCACCTCTAGCAGTGTCCAACTCGAACCAAGACCGACTTACTGCGAACAACATGAACCAAGCTCTCACTGTGTGCCTAACAGCAGGCCACAAACCGCAAACCGGTCTGGTGGAAACTACTGAAAATCTGTAAAACTAGTCAATGTCCATCTCAAATAAAGATAACTTCAACAACTGCATGGATTATTTGTGATACCAAATGATTTCAAAAAATACATTTGTCCATTATGAGAAAGTTTTCATTTAAGCTGCCATGTTGATTTGGGTTTGAAATCATAAACCAGACCACACAAAGCGTTTCTCCGATCAGGTGAACTCTTTATAAGCCTGTAGAAGATCTAGAACATCTGTCAGTCATCGACTATCTAACTGATTGTCCATCACGTGGCCAATGCCGGGGAACGGAGTAATCTCTCGCATGACATAACACCAGTCCAAGGGAAGTACCAGAACTCATGATACGATCACGGTACGTTGCAGACAAGAATAATATTAACACAATCCATCGATTCTGTAATACAATCCAAGCAAGATGTCCAAGATACAATTAAAACAAATATCCTTAAAAAGGGAAAAGGCTGGAATGTCTTTTTTTTCCATAGCATTTTTGTGCTTCTGTGTGTGGCTAACAGGGACATGGTTAACTTGTTAATCCACCTCCATAATGCAAAAAAATCCAGAAGTGAGCTACCAGTGCTGGTAAGACAGAAACCCTGTGAGTTTATTTTTCACTTAAAGCATGAAGACAAAGGCCGGCGTGAGAGCCGTTTGCGTAAACAAAGAAGAATGATCTATCCAGCTGTAATTAGGGACTAAAAGTGGATTTACATCAGCTGAACAGATACTGAGAAGATTCACCTGATTATTTACATTTTTTTTTGGTTCAACCAGTTTTTTTAGTCCGTTTTTGAGTGTAAAAAAGCTCCCCTGCGTGTCCTCCACTTGTCTTTTACTCGCAAACGCACACACCGTGAAACAAAAAGTTCAGGAGATGAGACGAGCGAGAGTCTCTGCAAACGTGTTTACATTAAGTTCTAATTTAAAAATCAAACACGCAAAGTCAACAGACAAACACCGCCCGACGTTTCACTGTAGCTGCTCCTCACATTCATTTTAAATAGCACAGAAGGTATGTGCATCTCATATGTCAGCCACATGTGGAGACTCTGACATCAAAGGGAATAATAATAACAGTGTTGCTTTAATGCATTAGCGAAGAAAACATGCTTTAAAAAATAAAATTAATTTAAAATCACTCTAACCACCAGCAACCCACGAGATCACTGCCCATTGGTCCAACACCTCAAAGAGAGAGGGAACTCCTTAAGAGCCCCTGCAAACCTTCAAAGAAACAATGCAGTACCGGTATATACTGCTATACAGACATCATCCCCCACTCCTGTTGTGCACTTCATCCTGCTCATCTTTACTGGCACACTGCTGCGTTTTCTGACCCCAAACCACCATCAGTAGACCAGGAAGTAATGTGAAACTATCATCAAAAATATGGATCAGCAGCATGCATGTGAATCGCTGATCATAACAGCAGAAATGTATCAATTACTCCACAGAGAGGTTTTTTTAGGTAGATTAGAAGTTGAGAAACCAGCCAAAGATTTTGGTTGGGATTGATCAGTGTAAGGTGGCCTACAGGTCCCGGAGTAACAGACGTGCAGGACCCGAAGAAGAATACTGTCTGTTATCCGATTAATTAAATGTGACTCCATTTATTTTACAAAACATATCAAACATAACCAACAAACCGCAAACTGTTGTCTACCTTTCTCTGAGCTGCTCAGAGTTCTTCTCCATACTCTCATTCTCTGCAAACTCCATCAGCTCGCGGGCGGCGCGGCCCATGTTGACGGCGGTGGGCCTCGCTGAGGTCAGGTGACACAGAGACTCCCTGATGAAGGTCACAGGGTCGTCACCTCCGGCGCCTGCCCGCAACTCCACGGCCAAGCTGAGACAGCCAACGATGGCGATGGCCGGAGCCCCGCGCACCTGGAGGAAAAAAGGAAGAGGACAGTAGTGTTCATCATCATCATCATCATCAGTTTTAAAGAGGATGATCAATGTTTTTCCAGCACAAAGCTGGAAGTGGGTGAACACAGAGCCAAAAGTTGTCACGACAGCTTTGATTAAAATGATCTCATCTCCGTTACTGGAGACATTTCTCTCACTACCATTAGACTTTATTAACATGACATCACCCCTCTGCTTATGGCACATTCCTTCACTCTGACACACACACACACACACACACACACAAAGGATCAAACAAACAGCTAGTGAGTGTGTGTGCAACTCCAAAGACAAAAGGTCTAGTGTCTTCTTGGCTCTTATAATAACAACAATAATAATGATAATAATAAACACCTTAAAATGCTCCAGCTGTTACAGAACTTGAGCGTCTTACATGTATGTGAACACTCAGGTATTTCAGGATTTCAGGTGTGGAGACAAACTGGAGCTGGAGGTGTCACCGAGTGCAGCACAAAACCAAAAAACGCGAACAAAAAAAAAAACCCTGGCAAAGGTCATTAATAATTCATCAATAATCTCTCCCAAAGAAAGGAGGAGGAGGAAGAGAGGGGGGAAGGCATATTTCATGGCTGGGTGGCTCAGTGAGCGCAGACACCCAGTTTTATCGCGCTTACACATGATGTGAAAACTATAAATAACGGATGGTTTAAAGGTAGGTGAGACGATGCTGCAGGTAGGTCCAAAAACAAAAATACAGGCCGACGGCGGCGAGCACATGTATGTGTGCCTGCATGCATGCAGCGGTGAGAGCACAAAAGACCCGACACATACAAAACACAACACAAAAAACCCCACACATGCATGACGGGACTGAATGCACATGCGGCAGGCGTGCAGGGCAGGCTGGGGGAGCGGGTGAAAGGAGAAGGTTTGGAGAAAGGGGAGAAGAAGAACCCCGTACCTTCATGGACTTGATGGCCTCGTAAGCGTCCTGCACCGAGCGGATGTCATCGTAAACGGTCTGGTGTGGCAGCAGCAGCTGGTTGAGGATCTGCAGAGACCCGGTCCGGTAGCGGATCGCTTCTAGCGTCATGACCGAGCAACGAGGCAGGATAGCGGGAAGGGGGGTGAGAGGGAATAACGCGGATGGACCGGTTGCCGGCGGGTGCGCGCACACGCACTCACTCACTCACACTTACACACACACACACACACACATATATACACACACTCGTTCTCCCTCTCTGAGCTGATCCACGCTGAAGTGACCGCGGCCTGGCTGTCGGCAGTCCCGTCGCAAAGAGGAGGAAAGTGTAGCGGGAGGATGAGGAGGTGCGAGTGGGACGGAGGAAGGAGAGGAGAAGGTGGTGTGCTGTCTGCTGTATGGGAGGATGAAAGGGAGAGGAGTGAGAGAAGGGCTGGAAACCTTCACACACACACACTGACAGACGAGCAGGAAGGCAGACACGGAACCACGTGTTCATCCGAGCAGGAAGCCCTCGCCTCGGTGTCCACGCCCACTAAAGTCTCGCGGGGTTGTCCAATTTCTTTAAGGCTCCCCTCTTATGCCTCTGTGCGCCATCCCTTCCCCCAACATTTTCCTCTTATTTTTTTCTTTCCCCCCATCTTTTGTCTCGGGAAATTTCACACTCACGCACGTTATTAGCATAACACCAAAGAACCACGAGCTTCCCCCAACAACAGCAGACTCCTTCTGCAAAGACAAGTCTATTTTTGTCCCAAGATTTTATTGTTTCTGTCTTCTGGCGACACCTCCTCCCACCAAGCACCGCATGCTCTGTGTGCAGTAATCACTGCAAAAACCAATCCAATATGTTACTGGAGTAGATTTCAGTGGGGGATCCTCTCATCGGGACTGTGGGGGCGATGCCTGTTAAACACAGTGCAGATATATATATAATCAAGATTATTATAAATGGAAAAACAAAAACCGGTTAACTGAAATAAAAATATAAACTGGACTTTTGCTTAAAAGGGAAAACCAACAAAAGTGACTTGTGAAGTTTGATTAAAATAAGCACTGCAAAAAATGTATAGGAAATGTCTTGAGTCCAACATGCAAGTACTGAGTCACAGTATTCGTTTTTATTGTACCTGTTTCAACTTCTAAATATAACCGTAAAATCTATAAAAATTGCCAAAATACAAAGTACAGTTTACTTAATATAGCTAAGTTAGTGCACAGTACTTAGAATAACCTCATTTTTCTTTTTGCAACGGATTCATGTAGTATATATGCCAGTGCCGTACCGTGCACTCACAATTAACAAGTTGCTCTAACTTAGCTACCTTAAGTAAATTGTACAACTAAATTACGATGAAAGCAAAAGCTGGGCTAACACGGAAAGTAAAAAAAATCTCAACTGAAACTAAACTTTTTTTAATGTAATAAAAGTAAAGATGTGAAAATTTCATAAAATCCAAAAGTAATAAAATTACAAAACTGTTTTATTTTTCCATTTTAAGTATTTTACAATACATTTTTGTTTCTGCTGGTTTACAGAGCAGGTTTATTCATTTATTTATTTATAATGTTTATTTTCAGCTTACTTTGTGTTTCAGTTCTTAACTATTACTATAATTTGGGAGGTATTTGGGAGGCGATTTAAGATTAAGTTTAAAAAGTTTATCACTATTATTATATTGTAGCAGTATATTATTATTATTATTATTTTTATTTTATTTTATTTATTATTATAAACCTAAAAGATGTTTTACATGTTTTTTTTTCAAGTTTTTGTCTGAAGTCTAGTTTTTGTTTTCAATCCAGTTACTATTTTTCCCCACACCTAGTGTTTTGTTTTAGTTAAAATTAAAATCATGTTACCAACCACAGCACAGACTCATAAATGATTTGCATTAACGAGTAAAGAGCACAGTAGACCTCAGTGCTTCATATACAAGTCTGTGACTCTCACATTATCTGAAATGAGAGTCACACAAGCGGATAACAGAGGAAAAACAAGAAGCATTTGAACCTGTTCTACCCTTTGGCATTGAGTAAAAGCCACTAAAGACTCTGCTGTTTGCAGAGAGATAAAGTGTGCTTGCTAAGGAGTGAAAGCATAAGTGAAATATTCCACTACAAGGAAAATACGTGTTGAATCGTCAACGGGTGCCTGATTTTTGTGTTTTTCTTTACATAAATACATTTGCATCCTCTTCTGATGCAGAGAAAATTCTAATTAATTAAACCAAGTCTTCCATGTGGAAGGGCAAACTGACCCCTGCTTAATTTATTCTCAATACTCAAATGTGGTTTCAAACATGTGTTTCTTAATTGTTCTTTCGTTTTTGTTCAGCTGGTTTTTCTTCTCATTCTTTCAGTGTAGTTGTCATCATTTGACATTTCTTAGGTTTAGTTTTTATACAAACCCTCAGAGTTAAGTAGACACCCTTACCAAACACATGCATCAACACTCCCTCGGGCTGGGTGTTCTTGACAAAAGAAAAACTGCATTTATATTTTATTTTAGTTAGCTTTATTACATTTCATGTCTTTTAGTGTTATACTTACCTATAGTAGACTTAATAATGACACAAACTCACTGCGGTTTCACCACTTTATTCGTGTCAACACCAACCTCATACATAAGATAATAAAGCCTCAAGAATCAGGCCGTCATACATTCCCATTTTAAACTGCATCAATCATCAAGACATTCACTTAAAAAAAAGAGACAGAGCATATTATGCCATATTTACCAAATATAAATATTACATTTATAATGATTGCCCTTACGTGACTTAGCAAATTTTTTAAAAGATGTCAGCTTCAACAATAAATGGATACATTTACCCAACTCATCGGGAAGAAAGTAGTAAAAACAAAAAAATAACAAAACTTAGACCAAACTTTTTTAAATGAAATCAATAACAGGATAAAGACAGAGAGCCAAACAATTGTATGAAAAGAGAGTGAGCAGGAGTGTGTGTGTTGTGGTGTGTTGTATATGCAGAAACGGAGTGTGAGTCACCAGCAGGACAAACTAACAATATGTCCCTCCACCCGGGTCCTGACCATCCACCTACCACACTGAATGCTGATGAGCTCGTTGCTACGACAACAGGTCAGCCTCAGAGGCCGCAAGGTTATTTGGGGAGTGGGGTGATGTGGCAGGAGTGCGTTTGTGTGTTTGGGGTGACGTGGGGTTACAGCTCTGGATTTAAAAGAAAAAAAAAAAAGTGGGTGTGGTCTAGGCGGGGATGGGGGTGGCGGTGTGCAGTTGCACTTTTTGTGCAGGCTCAAACATGCAGCTGCTACACGGTCACACTCAGATGTTTTTCTTTTAATCGGAACGACATCTTTGTGCTGTTGTTGTTTTAGTCCAACTCACTATTTTCCATTAGAGCTGGTCTTCCTGTGAACCCCACTCCTGGGACAGATGTTCTGTTTTCAAATAGTTCATTAAGCTTTGCGTTTCATCCACAGGAAAAACAAAACAGAACACGGGAACATTAAAATTAAATACTAGTCCCTTTGTTTTAAAGTTATAAGCAGTAATTGGGGGCTTCTTTCCTTTCTGTGTGTGTTGCTAACATGAGGCCATTACTTCCGGCGACCCAGAAACTGATCTCCAAATATTGGTCATTCAGTTTCATGATTAACATATACAAGGAAGTATAGAGGTCCACCATAAGGACTTTAAGAATTTTGTTTTTTTATGTAACCCTCTGCTGATTGTCAAAGAAAATGGTTCTGCTGAAACAAACAGGCACATGTTTACTCCAGTTTTACATGCATAGCCCCTCTAACAGATTTACAGCTGAGTGTAAGGTCCGGACAGAGAGGTGGTTCAGACTTTCAGCTGTGTTCACCCCTTGGCTCTGCCCTGCGTACAGTATGAAAACCATTAGCAGAACCTTCAAATTTGCTTAAGTTGAGTAATCCGCTGATTCACTATTTAAATCTTTCTTAATGCCCAAAGCTTTACAAATAAATTTGTACTTAAACTACACTGCTGCATAAATGCATCATTGACATTAATCCAGACCTGCTTGGCTCGAGCTCGAGTTTTAGGAGAGTTCAAGATTATAGTCTGTGCCGTACAAAGATTTAAATAAGACACAAACGATCACCTAGAAGGAAAGGGAGCACATTTAAAGATTTGAAGCCATGTTTAATACTCCAATCTAATGTTCTAATGCTACGATCTATCTACAAAATAATATGAGATGATCAAAATCAGCATAACATTTACAAAGAGTCAAAAGATGTCCTCTGTTGATTTAAAAAAAAAAAAAAAAAAAAAAAAAAAAAGTGGGGCAACGGGTGTTACATAAGGATCACCACACAGTGGAAGGCCAACTTTAACCGGGATTATTTGCTAATGGAGTGAAGCAGTGACTGGATTAGCGTGAACACATGATTATCTGACGTGTCACATGACCAAAAAACTATTAACTGGAGTTACCAGACATCGTTAATATTGAGGATTCAAACACAAAACGCACAATAAGGCTCACTTAAAGTAGTCTGCTACATCCCGGCTGGATGCAATCAACGTGGAACAGGAGCTATTGTCAGGTTAGCACACCAAACATCTGCCCAGATCTCAGAATACATGGCAGCCCACATTTGTCGGATTATTATTTTTTGTACATTTTGTGGTGTTGTGGCAAATCATTCTGATCATTGCAATCTGCCCACCTCAACTTTGTCAGCGTGTCAAAGTTTAAGTGGTTTTATCTGTATTTTGTCCGCTTGACTTTATTCTCCAAAAAGAAGGGAAGGCAGAGAGGAAGATGATGATGACATAGGTGTCTGTGGGAGAACTGAGACAGAAATGAGCAATTACCCAGCCATACTGACACTTATAGGGCCGCCTTCCTGTGGTTAGATTTTTCAGTATCCACTGTGCTGCCACTGGAGAGCTCAATGGGACAAATTCTGTTTTTGCATCCACCACAATCTGTGGGGGAAAAAAGCACTCTGACGCAGCAGCTCTAAACTGTTTTAAAGTAAGTGACAGCACAGCGGGCTTCATATTGTTTAAGAGTTTAAATAGATTCTGAGTAGGGCAGCCTATTAATCAAGAATAATCTTGAAAGGAATGGGTGCGAGGAAAATAAGATGACGAAGACGACAAAGAAGAAACAGCTGATGAAGACGCAGCAATCTCTTAGCGAGGCTAAGCTTCTACCACATTCATGGCACGCTGTTAAAACCCCTCTTCCCAGCCCCCAGAGGCGACTCTACGTCTGATGTAGTCGCCTCTTTGGTGACATAAACACTAATCCCTTATCATGGGATGTAGGCTGCTGCACCCCGAAGCCCCATTTTTTTGTTGTTTTTTTTTTTTTCTTTTATTCCCATATCACAGCACTCCAAACGGAGCAGATTACTGTAATCTGTGAACACTGGAGCAGACAGATTAGATTAAGCTCATTACACACATAAAATACAGGGAAAAAGGTAAAAAAAAAACCTCTAGTTCACTGGTTAAACACATCTAAGAGTGCGTGGACAAACACACACACGCACCTTCACACACACACATATTTTTGGTCATCTGTAGACACCAAAAGCCGGTGCCGAATGTAAAACGTCAAGTCTTCTGGCAGATTACTTCATCAAGAATTGTCACATGAAAGTTGGGAAAAAAACAAAAAAACCCCAAAACAAAATAGAATACCAGTAAAGTCTGTAAAGCCATTCTTTAGAAGCAG